TATATCTTCATTTATGTCAATTGTTTGCAGATAATTTGTTAGGGTACATCTATTAATACTTATATCGATACTATCAATATTATTAGCCAATGTTATTTCAATACTATGAATTGACCAACATTACATTTTTATTTTCCATATTCATTATACGACAAACTTTAAACTATGGGTGGACAGTCGGGAGCCATCCAAATTCGGATCGAGTCTATTTAGGTTTCAGATTTTTGAGGTTAAAAATTTCATCTCCCTTCGAATATTTATAAATTTCAGTTCGTGTTCATTTCAGATCTTTGCGGGTTTGGATTCGGGTAACCACTTTTATGATTTCACCGTACATATATCTATAATACACTTATAAAAAACTATTAATATAAAATATATAATCATGTTGTTTAGTCATATACAATATAATTTATTTAAATTAATAATCTATAAATTAATATACACTAACAATCTCTATAAAATAACATAATTTTATAGTCCCAAATTGATTTTTTTGTTCAATTAGTATATTGATAAATTAATAATCTCTATAAATTAATAAAAAATTATAGTTTTGGTGTACTCCCAACATTATTAATTTAGAGAGGTTTCACTATAAACTAAGTATGGGCAAACTTAAGACTATACAAAACTAAACAATATAAAATACATATATAATTTGTAAGGAAAAATAAAACCCGCGCGCCCGTGGGTCATAATCTAGTAGTTTATCAATACACAAGAAAATCATATTGAATTGTTGATTCATTGTTGTAAATGGCTTAAATACGACCCGAATATAGAGAAAAAAAAAATTGAAAATTCTGAATATTAGATTTTTGTTTTTGAGGATTCGAATTAGTTTTCAAAATCTATATATATAAAGTAGAATACTCTCTTCATAGAGAAAACCACGTCACTTCTTTGAGGAATGAGCAAATGATGACATGTGTCATCTCTTCAAATAATCATTTTATTGTCTTTCTCACTTTTTAGGAATTGATCTTTAATTTGTAACTAAATGGTTTGTTGCTTTTCCTTTTCACTTCTCCGATTTATTTAATTAAGTTATCAAAATAAGAAATCTCAGAAAGTATACAATATAAAATATTAGCAACTTTAATTGTAATTTTGTAATAATTGAATTACATATATAATTGTAATTTTGTATTATAATTGTAATTGGAAGTATTTAAATGGTAGTATTTGTATTTATATTATTCGTTCATTGGAAAACAATTTCATTGAATGAAAAAAAAATGTATAATAACAAAACTGTAATATGTTCGTTTCTTTCAATATTACGATAAACTTAATTTATAACAAAATAATAAAATATATGTAAAGAAAATCAAGATCAATTTAAATTAAAGTAAACTAAATATTTGAAATACCATTAAGATTGATGATATATTGATATCATTTTTCATATGCGGGCGGGCAAAATACTAGTAAAAGTTAAAACCTAAATGAATATTTGATTAATAATGTATAAGTATCTTATTCAGTGGTAGACCCAGCCCTATATTTTAAATGGGGTCAATATACTGATTAAATTATAAAATAAATATCAAAGTGGGGTCAAAGGAAATTGAACCTGATTTTTTGAGGATTCATTAGATAGAAGTAACCAACTGAGTTGTCGATTTATATAGAACTGAAACACAAACCAACGTTTTTATTGAATTTTTGTGGTGTCACTTGACACCACTTCTTCCCTAGGAAGGGCTGGTCTGTCCTGACTTACAGAGATGGTTCCGTTGTTAACATCAACGGTGAACCTCAGGTATATTTTTTTTTCTTCCGATGGAGTCCTTTAGTTATTTCGATTGGTTTTGAGTTAAATTTTGGTATAATTTGGTTAAGTTCGGTTACTTTCGGTCAAATTTGATTATTTCGTTTTCCTCATTTTTCTGGTCATTGGGTGAGTATAGTTACTTTGATTTATAATTTGGTTATTTTTATCGAACACCTGAATTGCAAAACCAATGAGCAAATTTGTTTTAAAAAACTAGCCGAATTAAACCGAATTCATGACCAAATCTAGACCAAAACCAAAATTTTGGTTCTGTCGTTTGGGTCAAAATCTTGGGCCTAGTGATTTTGGGGAATTAAACAACCGAATTTGTTTTAAAAAAAACTATCCGAATTGAACCAAATTCATGACCAAATCTAGACCAAAAACCGAAATTTTGGTTCCGTCGGTTTGGTTTGGGTCAAAATCTGAGCCTATTGATTTTGGGGAATTAAACAGTTTGCTGAAACTCAAATATTTTAAAGGACGCATGTAGAAACTAGAAAGTAGGATACAGTAGTCTGAATAAGTTGTAATCAAAGGGAATCTTTGGATACTGCTGTTACAAGAATGAAAAAACGTATAGAAGTTGCAGCTTTGACCACACCAAAAGTTCCAATATTTCTTGTCTTTTTCAGGATTCTCTGCTCAAACCCATCACATGAATCGTGCTCGGAGTGGCAATTGTTATGTTGTTAATAACATTTCTATTGAAAGACCCCCCCCAGCGTGGATCAAAAACAACATCTCCATGGGGAACTTTCCTCCGTTGCTTGCATGCATAGTAATAGTATTCACCCGAGCTAGAAAGGGAACCAAAGACTTCTTCAAGAAGTGTGGCTGGTGATATCACAGTCCCTACCATCTTGTTTCTCTTGGAAAATGTGGTCGAAATTGTAGTCTTTCATCGACCATGTAATGTAGATGTTCTCTTGTTTTAACCCAACAAGGTTCTTTCCTTTGTTAACACTAGGCCTGCGGATTTTGTCCGACCCGAAACGAACCAAAATTTTTGGTTTTCGGTTCAATTTTGGTTTTAAGTTTAGTTTGGTTCCGTAAAGTTTCAAAAATTTATTCGGTTATCGGTTCGGTTTTTGAATTTTTTTTGGAATATCCAAAAAACCGAAAATGACCAAAACTACCTAAAATATCCGAAAACCAAAACTGAATTTAACCGAAAAACCTGAAAATAACCGAAGTTAACTGAAATAACCGAAATTAAACAAAAATATCTGACTTTTTTAAAGTATACCAAAATTAACCGAAAACCAAAATAATTGGTTGTTTTGGAAATAATACCGATAACCGAACCGAGCCAAACAAAAATTTAATTCGGTTAATTTCAAAAATGTTTTTTAAAATTTTGGTTAACCGAAAACCGACGGTTTAGTTCGGTTTTAGAAAACTGAACTCACTGGCCTAGTTAACACTCTTTTGTCTTTGATAAGCCAGGCTCCAAATTGCTTGTTTTCAGAACCAAGAGAGAAGGAGAGAGAGCAATCATTCTCTCCTTTTTGCATCTGTTGAAATGTCTAGATTTATGTAATTTCATGTGTATGTGTTTATGCGTTGTGGAAAGAAATACTTATCTTCTGGAAAGCCAGACATTTGCTAAAAGTATCGTGCCTGTTCATATTAAAATTTCTCGTTAATCCTCCCTATATCACTCATTCACTCGTTATAATAAATTTACAACACCGACACTAGTTTTCTTGATTTTATTTTGGTACCTTGGTACATTTGAAAACTCAGTTGATTTTGAGTCGCATTCACGCAGTAGACAATGTTTGGGAAATATCTAAAAGGATTTGTTTTTCTCTTCGGAACACCTTAAAGGATTTGACTGTATAGAACTTTTACATTAGTTTTGTATTTTGAGTGTTTTTTTTTTTTTTTACTTTTGAACAAATATATACAGCATATGGGTCAAGTTCAATCAATTTTTTTTCCCAAATCTTTTGTCAGAAAAAATCATGAAGAAGGTATTGGATGAACAAAACTACAAAATGATGTATGTACAAACTAAAACAGCAAAAAAATGTCAAATACAATTTGATCTGAATTGACCATAGTGTTCCAAATATATTAATATTACAAGAGGATATTCATTTACTATATAATTTATGGATATCTTACAAAAAAATATATAGTAAAAACAGAAATAATTTCTCAACACATTTTTGTCTATAAGTGGTCAAATTATTTAAATATTAAAACATATTTAAATAAATAAAATTAAAATATTAGTATTATTTACATTGTAACTCCATTTAAGAGATTCCATCACTGTGGATATGCTAACATCTACTACTAAAATTGAAAGTAATAAACAGCTTCGTGCTAATTTGTTCACGTATTTGGAATGATATCAACATTGGATGTTTTTTTTTTTTTTTTGAATAAGGGCATAACATTGGATGTTAGACAAAAGTTATTGTAAGTGACGTTGAAGATCTCATGGCAAAGTTCTCATTGCAAATATTTTTAACAAAAGTATCACGTAAATTATACGTTTTTCTCCAAAATAACGTTTATTAATAGAAGTAATCAATAGAGTAACTCTCTTACAACATTAAAATAGTATCAAAATTTGTTGATGTAAAAAAAAAAACTTGATCTAAATTTTCGTATATCCTACCAAGACTTTGTCAGCTTATAAAAAGTGGTCAAATCACAAGCACGCAAAAGTAGAGGATATAATTTGATTTGGTTAAACTGAATATTCACGTTCGATAATTGAAGATGCACGAAAAAGACGACACAAAGAGGTGAGTAAAGACATGTGTACTTCCAGTTCAAAAAAAAAAAAGACATGTACTTTCAATATAGACCAAAAAAGGAGGGCCACGTGGCATCCAGGAATACGTTCTTAATTCAGTTTTTTTTCGAGCAGAATAAAAAGCCCACAATGGGCCCAAAGAATCAACGTAAGACTCGGTCAAAACCGAAGAGACACATCAGTTCGAACTCAGATCCGTACGGACCGATTCGTTAGTTAGCGAATGTATAAATACACACATCCCATCTATCATTCTTTCCACACCTAACAGTTATCAGAAGTAATCTAAAAAGGAAAAAAATCAAAATTAAAATAGCAAATAAATAAAAATCTCGCTAAATATTCTCAAGAAAGATTTAAAAGATCGTAAACACACACAAACACAATCTCTCTCGCTGTCTTGCACACACACACGCAAACAAAAAAACCCTAAACATCAGCGGTATGGCGGCGGCGGTTGCATCTGGAATTGCCCCGACGACAGCGATGGTTGATCAAGTCCCTAATCAACCAGCGGCTCCGGTCGCCTCTCCTCACCCGACTCAGGTAGCTGCGGTGGCGGCTGCGGCGGTGGAGGCGTTACAAACGCACCCTAACTCCTCCCTCTACGTTGGAGATTTAGACCAAAGTGTCAACGAGGCACATCTGTTGGATCTCTTCAACCAAGTGGCCCCTGTCCAAACAGTTAGGGTTTGTCGTGATTTGACTCGTCGTTCACTTGGATACGCTTACGTCAACTTCGCTAATCCCGATGATGGTACTCTAAATATTCAAAATTTCCTAATTAATTATTATAATCACTGTTGAAATAATCCCTAGGCGTAATTAGGTTTGTAGAGGGTTAATGCTTATGCAAATATTCCGAAGTTTTATTTTTTTTAACAGAAAGATTGATTATATTGTCAGTGCTGCTCGGATTTGAGATTTTGGGATCATAAAAAATTATTAAGAAATTAAAAAAAAAACATATATATAATTTTGAAACCATTGATCTAAGCTTTTTCAAAAAAAAAAAAACATTGATCTAAGCATATAATTTTCAGAAATTAACTTTTAAGAACTAATATAATTGTTCTACTGGGTTGTGTGAAGTTTTGGTTGTGACTTAGAACAATTATCAATTTATCATTACGGGTTATTAAAATGTTATTTTTTGATGTAACAGCCATGCGAGCAATGGATGTTCTCAACTACACTCCCATCAGAGACAGGCCAATAAGGATCATGCGTTCGAACCGTGACCCGAGCACAAGACTTAGCGGAAAAGGCAACGTTTTCATCAAGAACCTGGACGCAACCATTGACAACAAAGCCCTGTACGACACTTTCTCGAGTTTCGGGACCATTCTCTCATGCAAGGTAGCCATGGACGTGACGGGAAAGTCTAGAGGTTACGGTTTTGTTCAGTACGAGAAGGAAGAAACCGCTCAGGCCGCTATTGACAAGCTCAACGGCATGCTGCTCAACGACAAGCAAGTCTATGTGGGACCCTTTGTCCGACGTCAGGACAGGACTCGTGAGAGCGGTACTGTCCCGCGTTTCACTAATGTCTACGTGAAGAATTTGCCTAAGGAGATTACTGATGATGAGCTGAAGAAGACGTTTAGGAAGTATGGAGAGATCTCTAGTGCTGTTGTTGTGAAAGATGAGAGTGGGAACTCGAGATGTTTCGGGTTTGTTAACTTTGAGAGCCCTGAGGCTGCTGCTGTGGCCGTTGAGAAGATGAACGGGATCAGTCTTGGTGAGGATGTGTTGTACGTTGGGAGAGCGCAGAAGAAGTCTGAGAGGGAAGAGGAGCTGAGGAGGAAGCATGAGGAAGAGAGGTTGAGTAGGTATGAGAAAGGAACGAATCTGTATGTGAAGAATCTTGATGATATTGTTGTGAATGATGAGAAGCTTAAGGAGATGTTTGCTGAGTATGGTGAAGTGACCTCGAGCAAGGTTTGTTTGTTTTTTTTTTTTAATTTAAAAGAAATGTTTTAAAGCTTTTATAGACTGAACTAAAGTGTTGTGTTTGTGATTATGTCTAGGTTATGACGAACGCAGAAGGTTTGAGCAGAGGGTTTGGTTTTGTTTCTTACTCCAAACCTGAAGAAGCTGTAAGAGCTGTAAGTTTCAACTAAATACACAATCTGTTACTTATCTACAATACTAAATATACATTCTAATAGTACTGATGGTTTATCTACAGATGAATGAAATGAATGGGAAGATGATAGGAAGGAAGCCTCTTTACATTGCTATTGCTCAACGTAAGGAAGAGAGGAGGACTCGTCTTCAGGTAATTATATCACTCTCTCTCTGAACTGTATGCTTGTGTGTCTGAAACTGGTTCTCAAATCCTCTTTTTATGTTTTATTCAGACTATGTTTTCTCAGATGAGACCAAATGCACCAATGGGTGGGTTCCCTCATCACCCAACAGGAGGGCCACACCATCAAATGTACATAGGCCAGAACGGACAAGGTATGGTGCCTTCACAGCCTATGGGGTATGGCTACCAACTTCAGTTCATGCCTGGTGTGCGTCCGGGTGCTGGCCCGGCTAACTACATGATGCCTTACTCTGTTCAGAGGCCAAACCAATCCGGTCCTCGTGTTGGGTTCAGGCGTGGTGCTCCTTACATGCAGCAGCACTTCCAGCAACAACAACAACACGTATTTAAATCTTTATCCTTATCATCTCTATGACTATTAGTAACATTGTTTATTATCTTCAACATGGTTTGTGTGATGGTTTTATTTTGAACTGGCAGATGATGCAGCACAATGGAAGATACATGGGAGGTGTGGGTAATATGGTGAACCGTGTGGAAGCATCTTCTCCACAAGGCATCATACCATTGGATGCATCTGCTGTCTCTCACAATGCTTCTCAAAACCAGCAGAGGCCAGCTCTCCTCCCCATTTCTAAGTTAACTTCTGCCTTGGCTTTGGCTAGTCCTGCCAATCACTCACAGGTTTGTGTCCCTTGTGTAAAATGTCTGATCACGTCTGAGCCTTGTATTAGATAATATTTGTTGAAGAATTTGCTTCCATGATGACAGATTCTTGGGGAGCAGCTCTACCCACTTGTGGAGAAGCATGAGCCAGTTCATGTGGCTAAAGTTACAGGGATGCTGCTAGAGATGGATCAAGCTGAGATCCTGCACCTTCTTGAGTCACCTGAAGCACTTAAGGCCAAAGTGTCTATGGCTTTGGATGTCCTCAGGCTCTCTGCTAATCCGTCAGCTGTTTCTTCCGTTGATGATCAGTTTGCTCCCTCCTCAACGGAGTGAAATGATTATTTACCCAAAAAAGACAATGTTGCTTCTGGCTTTTTATTAGACAATTTGCTTTGAAATTTTTAGGACCTCTTTCACTAGTTTTGCTTCTCGTTTGCAACTTTTTAGTTTACGTTTGATTCTCTTTCAAGACTTGTAGTTTTTTTGGTTTGAATCTATCTAATGATTTAACTCTTTCGCACCTTCACTAATTTCTTTTGCAATCTCTAATCCTTAATACTATTTTACTTTGCAGATAAAATGTTACATCAAACTTGGGTATAATTCGTTATCTGCTATATTTGATTAACTGAAATGCGAATGTTCCTCATCATCTACATGTCCACTCTTGCCCATTTATATACTATTTTGCGTGAAAGCTTTTTCTTTGCCGTGGTGTTACTACTGTTCACCTTGGTCATCTACCAAGTAAACTTCCTATTTGGAAGCACACTTGGATACAAACGTCCTATTCTCGTTACTACTTGTTTCATTATATTTGATTTTCCTCTTACACGTGTTCAATACAATGTACCCATATATATAGTTCAGTAGATTTGATTTTCTTTAGAGAATAGGTGAGTTCCTAGCTTAATTCTCGTTCAGTTTGTGTGATGTTATACTTAATCTATTCCATGATAAATAGGGGTATATATTATATTGAACATGTGTTGCACCTTCTGAATTTGTTCAGTGTTCAGATGACTGTCGTTGGCTATGGCATGAACTTTTCAGAAAAGTACAGCAACCTATCTTACATTGGCGTGTTGAAGCCTCAATATTACATGTTACAATATAACATGAAGTGAAGTCAACTCATACTTCAAAAAGGTAATGTTATACTACACTTCGTAAATGATTTTGATGCAAACTAATACATTGTGATGTGTGTTTCTGAAGAACTTCACACAATACATAAAACATCAGAATCATACAAGATATGAAGATACACCTGAGAAATCTGGAAGCTTGCATTTACCTCCCATTAGAATATCTTCCTTATGCCACAACGGAGCTCGTCTCTGATCCCCACTCAGCAGCATGCTCGAGTGCATTGCTCATAAACAGTACCATTGTTCATCACCATCAATTTCATGTCATTTTGGAGATGTAAGGCAGGTGCATGGTCTCTGGAGCCGTAGCATGCAGCCCAACGACGAAGCTTCTTCTTCGGATGAGAAGCAAACACTATAAGTCCATCTAAAGACACAAGGTTTGCTGCAACTAAACCCGTATGGAAAACTGTATGCGGCTGCATTTTATATGGTGGAATGGGCCTAGCCATTATTTTTGAGCTTATGGGTGGTTTATGTAGGAGTCAGGTTTGTGTAGAATTCAATGTAAACGCCATTGAAAGGACCAGTGAGAATCTTTTGGTTCTGGTTTGGTAGCTCAGTTTCTTTTTCACGTCTTATTCAAATCACAGTCTCACCAAAGCATCATTCAGTTCCACTGATTTTCTGGATCCCTGATCATGCTCATCACACGAATATATTTTGCGTCTCCTTAATTATTATAGTTAAAATATCGATTAAAGCATACGTAATCTCGATATTGTTAAGTTATAGAATTTTACTGTATTTTATGTGGGGAATCATCATTGTGTTTTGGGCTATATATTTTGAATTTTGTTCTTCTTCCAGTATAACACTATTGCTTTTCCAAATTGATGTTTTGTCTAATTTAAAATATTTTATGTTTTACTTTTGATATTTATACTATGTAACAATATATATATATATATATATATATATATATATATATATATATATATATATGTAGCTGTGATTTACTACTTTAACATTATTTTTCTGGTTTGAATCAATTTCTAAATTTTCAACTTTAATGATTAATGTTTTTTTCTATTTATTAATTTTGGATAAATAAAGTTTGTGACGTTCTACTGTGATTAAATAGATTTCGCTTTCATGTTAATATTATATCTCGTTTATCTTATTAATGTTTATATTGCTTGAATCATCCAAATTTGGTTTGAGTAATCTGATCGCTAAACGTTTGGTCACTATCTGTTTAGCATCTACCATTTGCTTGAATTTATTTTAACTTACTCCTAAATAAATACACTAATGGCGTCCTCCGATATATTACAAGGAGTTCATTTTTAATTATATGAAAGATAAGTTTTGTTCATATGAAAACCGTACTGCGCACAAAAAAAAATTAGATTGACAGACACCAGACAGTGATTATAAGAAATTCATAATTTCTTCGGAAAATTATTATATTACAAATATGAAGATGGGATGATACTCGTCTATGATGATCAAGTTCTAGCCTGACAACAACCCAACATACCCAAAATAATAACTCAGTTTAATTTACATAATTGTCATGATCATTGAAACAAATATAAATTAAACTCACCGAACGATTATTATTAATCATCTGTTTGCCACCTATCCGAAATTATATAATTATTATATATTGAATGTTTTAATTAATCAATAAGTCATAGCCAATCATTAAAAGCACCTTCAATATTTTTGTGCTCACTAGTTATTATGTTTGCCGAAAATGCTCACTGATTAGCATCAGAAATTTTGTATTAGTACTCCCTCGTAGTATAATGTAATTTAATACACTCCTAGATTGAGATTAGTAGTTATAGACATGACCAAAAGAGTATTTAGACTGTATTCGATTGAGATTAGTAGTTATAGACAGGACAAAAGGGTATTAAGGTAGGCTTGCATGATGTTTAAGTTCATTTGTAAACGTAATAATATAATAAATACATCACACTCAGATTCGAGTTTTAGTAGGTGCAATTTTAACTATTTTGGACGATCCATCAGTTTGACAAACATTTACACTTGTCTCGTCACCCGTGATAGATGCATGTAATAATGATCAACAAAATATAATAATATTAATGCGTTTTTATCGCTGTACAGATAAGTTAGAAAATGAGGCCTGATGTAAGACAAGTCCCTGCTTTTGCCGATCCTTCTCTTCTAATAATAAATCAGAAGAAACATATTTTGTAATGTTACGTAATGAATTTAGTTTCTCTGTATATAAGTTATACTAATCGTATATTAATTATACATATGACACGTACGGTAAAGACGACAATAGTTAACGACAAATCAAAGTTTGCTCTTTAATTTTTTGGTTTTGAAGTCAAATGACATGTGCTAAGATGTACCAATCTAGCTGTGGTTACATAAACTTATGATTCCATCCGGTTTACATTGTTTTTTTTGGTTCCCCTAGATGGTTTAAACTCACGAAGATTAGACGTGGCAGAATGGTGTAGACTGAAAGAAATGTATATAATATAGTACAATAAATGATATTGTATGGTTAATATAATCGAACACTGATATAAATGGAGATGCAACAGGTTGGGTAAGAAATTAAGAGTTTGTTTCGTCCTTCTCAGACATAAGAAACTGAAATTCACACTTACAAAAGTCCCAAAGAAGCGTCAAATTGCCTTTGCTCTTTCGCATTTCGATTTTCTTCTTCTTCTCCAAGTCGTCACTCCTCACAGTCACAGGTACTTGATCTGATATCATTTTACATTTTCAGACTTTTCTCTTGTTTATCTAGTTGTCAAACTGTGTTCTCGTGATAGGTTAAATCGGAACAAAAGTTTAACTAACTAAAATGATCTGATGAGAGGAAATGTTTCGAATGATATCCAATTTCTTCTCCCTATCCAATAAACATTACCAATCTGGTTACAGAATTGAGAATTGAAAAAGAATGAGAGACGTTCATACTTGCTCTTAAAGAAACTCTTCCTCCACATGCTTCTTTTTCGTTGGTTAACTTTTAAATCAAATGAAATTCTTTATTTTTTTAATTTTGAAGAACTCAACATAGTCTCTCAACATTGTGAATGCTCTAAGAGCTCAAGAGCTCATTCGTACAAAATTTCTCAACTTGATATTTTAATAATATTATCATTTAAATAAATTAATTATTTGATTAAAATTTAATAGTTAAACAAATTTAAATCACTCATATACCAACATATGGAAAAGGTTTTAAAGAGTATCTATGAGTTTCTTTGAGAAACTCTTATTTCCTTCTTACATATTATTCTAAATTTTTAGTTGATAATATATATACAACCGAATTGCTCTTAGTCATTGTTTAGTTGTCTACATAATCTCTAAAACTAGAATAGAACTTGGTAACAAGGTCGTGTCTGCAAATTTTAGGTCCTGATTTTCTTATCAGAAAATTATTAAATCCAATAATTTATTTGATCCCCAAAAATCAAAAGAATTTTAAAATATTGTGGGGAGAAATCGAACTGCACACCTAGTCTACTTGTAATAAGTATATAACCAATATAAATACTTACTTATTTTTGTTTAGAATTAACCCCTAATAATAATATAGTTTTTCTCGGTTCCAACTATGCTTGATTAATTTGTGCTAAGGCACGGTCCTTGGTATATAAAATATCTGTATCATCGCTAATCGCTAGCTTTATGTGATTCAATTCCTAAAGGTGTTTTTTTTTGGCCTCTGTCTATCATAATATATAACAACTCTGAAGCCTTTCAATTGTTCATGGAATTACATGTTTAAGCGAGCTTATATATTTCAAGTCATTTTTCCACAGCAGATATGTATATATATCAAGTTAAATTTTTGAACCCACTACGAAGACGTAGCTGATTAGGCTAGGATCTTTAATCTTTCATGTCATTTTCAACATGGCTGGGTTCGAACTAATCAAAAGCTGAGTGGTTTGAAGTGGTACATAGGTTCCCACTAGGATTGAAAAGACAAATATGTCGTGGTATAACACAAAAAAAAAACCAAAAAACAAAATAGTTTAGATTTTATTTATTTATTTTTGGCGGTGTTCAAATTTTTTTTTGTTAACACTTACATTAAAGTCAAAGATTCAATAAGGTAAATCGGTTATAACTGGAAGAATGTTTGAAATTAAATTGATAAACAAAAATAGCTCAAATATAACAAGAGATAAATGTGGCAAAAAAAGAAATAGAGACGTTTTACTTGTATTCCTAAATCCCGTATTTAAAAAATGTAAATAAATAAAAAATGACATTGAAGAACCGGATAAGTAAAATTTAAAATAAAAAGTCCGTAAACCTCCATAAAAGTTTCAGTAAAAAGCTGGCATAATCAACTCTATAAAAAATCATCGATGTTTGAGACGTCATACTAGGATGAATTGAGTATCTAACAAGTCCACACTCTTTATGAGTTTTAAGATTTGGTTTATTTGGTTGACTTCAGTTTGGTTTGCTGATTAACAAAAATTGGTTAGACCACGGTTGTGACTGGTTGGCCATTATAGAGTAAATTATTATTTTAGATTAATTTTTTTTAGCTTCTACAAAAACTAATCACTTAGATAAAATACTAGTACTGTACTTTCTTTATATGGTAGATTATAGTTATTATTCAATAAATATAGCCACTCATTTTTACTCTCTTTCAATTTTTTCCCATTTTTCTTTGTTCTATATTTGACCACAAATACCTATCAGATATATAATTAATATGGACAGAAATAGCCAAATGTCTGGCTAAAAGGTTGGCTGTCGACCATTGCCTATATTGTGGATTTGTGGTCAAGACTGAATAGTGCCAAAAGGGACCAAACAGTTTTCTTTTTCTCATGTCCTGTTTATCTCCATTCTCTCTTATTTTGCATTTCTTTTTTGGTTTTATGCCTTTTTTAATTCCACCCTTCATCTCTTGTTTCTTTGCTAACATCTCCAAAAGACCTTTAAACCCTCAAATTTGAAGTTTTTGTTTCTTCAAAAAATTCTCAAATCCTCAAATTTTAAAGACATGAACAGTAAATCCTCAAATTTTAGAATCTATACTATTCATGCACTCAAAACACTATTTCTTTTACAATTTAGTCCTTATAATTTGTAACTTACATATATTATATTTTTATTAACTTTTTATCACTTTATTTCTTATTACAATATTTTATACGTATATCTCTCTGAATATTCAAATATATCTTATATATATGTATAATTAATAATACATAAAATATATAAATATGCTAAAATAAAACAAAAAGTAATATAAAACAATAATATTTTTTAATGTGTAATATTATCTATCTATATAGAGTTTAGTGATTATAATTAGTGTACATTAAATTTGGAGACTAAAATACAAATAATAAAAAAATTTCAAAATAAATATGAAGTTTTTTCTTGGAGTAATCTATCCTCAAATCTTCATTTTGAAAATTTTCCACCTTTAAAATGAAGTTTTATTTTGGAGATGCTTTAACCATCCTCGCCA